TATACATGGACTAATGCAGCAGAACCCACACTGAATGTATAATAATAATAATAATAATAATAATAATAACAATAATAATAATAATAATAAGTCATTACTACTACTACTACTACTACTACTACTACTACTACTACTAATAATAATAATAATAATAATAATAATAATAATAATAAGTCATTAATAATACTACCACTACTACTACTACTACTACTACTACTACTAATAATAATAATAATAATAATAATAATATATTCGAGGTGTTGTTTATGATGGAGAATATTACAGCACATCTTATAAAGTGATAATTAATAAGCTGGACCGATAATGTCTGAGTAACATGACCGAGTGTGCTACTGTGTGTGTCTGACTGACACCAGCGTCAGCAGACTGACACCAGCGTCAGCAGATTGACACCAGCGTCAGCAGATTGACACCAGCGTCAGCAGATTGACACCAGCGTCATCAGTCGTTTAGCCATCTTCCTTTCACGAGCAAAATAATCCTTTCACGCAATACAAGATATGCTTAAGTATGTTTACCACCATATATACACTGGAGGTGTGTACGTCTAAGCATATATACAGCGAGAGTATCTATAAGCGTATATACAACAAGAGGTGTATATCTTAAAGCATATATACAACGAAATGCTTATATACAACGATAGCTAAAACACAAGCTGGGCGCCAAGGTATTGGTCCAGTGTGGTGAGAATGGTATAGCACTGCGTACCTTGTTCCAAGGTTCGTAGGTTCGAGTCTCCTTCAGCCAGAGATCAGTGTTTGTGTATATTTCGCCTGCTCTTGCGAATTCCTTGTATATATATATATATATATATATATATATAATATATATATATATATATATATAATATATATATATATATATATAAACACATCTGCCGTTTCCCACCAAGGCAGGGTGGCCCGAAAAAGAAAAACTTTCACCATCATTCACTCCAACACTGTCTTGCCAGAGGCACGTTTACACTACAGTTATAAAACTGTAACATTAACACCCCTCCTTCAGAGTGCAGACACTGTACTTAACATCTCCAGGACTCAAGTCCGGTCTGCCGGTTTCCCTGAATTCCTTCATAAATGTTACCTTGCTCACACTCCAACAGCACATCAAGTACTAAAAACCATTTGCCTCCATTCACTCCTATCAAACATGCTCACGCATGCCTGCTGGAAGTTCAAGCCCCTCGCTCACAAAACCTCCTTTACCCCCTCCCTCTAACCTTTCCTAGGCCGATCTCTACCCCGCCTTCCCTCCACTAAAGACTTATACACTCTCGAAGTAATAGTTTTGGTAATCTCGCACCTCCTCCTGATTTCCAAACTACAAATTATCTGCATTATATTCACACCACACATTGCCCCCAGACACGACACGACATCTCCACTGCCTCCAGTCTTCTCCTTCTCGCAACATTCATCACCCATGCTTCACACCCATATAAGAGCATTGGTATAACTATACCCTCATACATTCCCATCTTTGCTTCCATGGACAAAGTTCTTTGTCTCCATAGATTCCTCAGTGCACCATTCACCTTTTTCCCCTCATCAATTCTATGATTCACCTCATCTTTCATAGGCCCATCTGCTGACACATCCATTCCTAAATATCTGAATATATTCACTTCCTCCATACTCTCTCCCTCCAATCTGATATCTAATCTTTGGTTACCTAATTTTTTTTATTATCCTCATAACCTTACTCTTTCCTACATTCACTTTTAATTTTCTTCTTTTACATACCATACCAAACTCATCCACCAACCTCTGCAATCTCTCTTCAGAATCTCCCAAAAGCACAGTGTCATCAGCAAAGAGCAACTATGACAACTCCCACTTTATGTTAGATTCTTTATCTTTTAACCCCAAAACTCTTGCCAACACCCGAGCATTCACTTCTCTTACAACCCCATCTATAAATATATTCAACAACCACGGTGACATCACACATCCTTATCTGAGGCCTACTTTTACTGCGAAATAATCTCCCTCTCTCCTACATACTCTAACCTGACCCTCACTATCCTAGTAAAAACTTCACTGTTTTCAATAACCTACCTCCTATTCCATACATTTGCAACATCTGCCACATTGCCCTCTATCCGCCCTGTCCGAATCCATAAATGCCACAAAAACCTCTTTACCCTTATCTAAATACTGTTCACCTACAATCCCTACATGTTTCACTGTAAACACCTGGTCCACACACCCTCTACCCTTCCTAAAGCCTACTTGTTCATCTACTATCCTACTCTCTGTCTTACTCTTAATTCTTTCAATAACTCTATCATACACTTTACCAGGTACAGTGGAACCTCAAAAATCGAACTTAATCCGTTCCAGGAGCTAGTTCTAAATTCGAAAAGTCTGAAATTCGAAGCAATATTTCCCATAAGAAATAATGGAAATACAATTAATCCGTTCCAGAAACCCAAAAATATTCACACAAAAAATGCATTTTATAGAGATTAATTACAGTTTTACATACAACAAATACTATAGTTTTTAATTATGTATAGTAATACATATAAAATAACATTTTTACTTACCTTTATTGAAGACTTATTCCCCTATAATTTTTGCACTCTCTTTTGTCCCCTTTGACTTTATACAAAGTAATTATGTATGCTCTCTGCATGCATATATATATATATATATTATATATATATATATATATATATATATATATATATATATAATATATATATATATATATATATATATATGATATATACCTTTTTGTGATTAAAGTAATTAATTTGCCCAATCTACATAACTATAAGTAGACGGAGGATCGAGCCTCCATCACTTGTGAATCACGTACTTTAATATTTAGACGAGTTGTAACCGTAATGCCCCTCGTGTATAAGGTAAGTACCATGCTTGGAGAGGTATTTATAAGTTAGAGAATTGCATAACTAGAAGAATTTTCATCTGAATTATACCCCGGGGGAAGAGGAGAGATTATTGGTAAATGTTTGTCATCCTTTGAGTGAACATGCAACCAGGTATTTACAAGTTAATAAATAAGACATATGTACAACTACTGGCTTTTGTTTTCCAATCCAATACAGAGAATATATTCTCTATATTAAATTAAAAATAGTCGCTAGTTGGAGGAAACGTCTACACAATGAAGTCATCCAGGTGCTACAGATGTGCCTTACTCATTAACCTGTCGGATCTGCTTAATATTAATTCATGTTTACAGATTTATGATCTACTAACTTTCTTATTGCTTCTTTTTATATTCAGACAAATTCAGTCACAATGAAGGTAACGCTAGCTGGAGATTCGTCTGTAAAAACTTGCATTTGTGGTCACAGAGGTGCCTGTGCTAACCTTCCTATGGTGTAGAAATATACCTAGTTGGACGAATCTTATTGTGGCTAGCTGGTCTAGTGGCTAACGCGACGGGCTGGAGTTTTGAGACTCTCTGACCGCGGGTTCAACCCCGGCCGGGGTATGGTTTATGAAGGTAACAATATAACTTACATGAGGTTTATCTAAAACACTCAAATATTTCATCAAGGTCTGGTTGAAACTGAGTTACTGCCAATAGGTAAAATCAGAGTATTAAGGCCACTCTGGTTAAAATATTTTGACATTTCTCGAAAATTTATGAGGGAATTATGACCATAATAACAATAGTTTATCTGACAATTTATTTTTTGTGATGGTAGTGTGATTTCCAAGCATAGTTTATTAATGTTTGGCTATTATTTAATCTTTCTAACATTTTTTTAAAGAGAAGCTCCTCGGAGAGGAGGTGAGCGAGCTGTCAGTGGGTAGCAGAGGTGGATACAGGCTTGGGACTACAAAAACACAGGCGAGGGTATCTCCTTGACCCTCCAGTCTCGGGATCACGGATCTCCTACTCCACAACAACGTGTTTAGAAGCATTTAAAGTGGTAGATTTGAGGGGGAGAATCGCTTGGTAGACTCGTGTTGGTTTGCGATGGGTAGATTAGATTCACGTAACTGATGACCCTACCGCAGTATTCACACACACACACACAAACCACAAAACAGGGGTGTGTGTGTGTGTGTGTGTGGTTTTGGCTCACTGAGGTCTGGCAGCTATGAATGAACTGCGACTCATGCCTCACTGAGATTAATTCATATTGTTTATCTTCGAAGTTATAGTTGATGGTCTCTTACGTACCTATGATCACTCTGTATTAATAATAAAAAATAATAATAATATAGCTTTATTATTATTTTATTAAATTTTTATATTTTTATTATTATTTTATTTTTAAAAAAAACCTGCGCTAAACCAGTTTGGGTCATCCATTGTGTCCTGACGGAGGACACCTTTACGTTCAGTTCTTTACGAACGTCACTGCTTCTGAGTGTCACTGCTTCTGAGTGTCACTGCTTCTGAGTGTCACTGCTTCTGAGTGTCACTGCTTCTGAGTGTCACTGCTTCTGAGTGTCACTGCTTCTGAGTGTCACTGCTTCTGAGTGTCACTGCTTCTGATTGTTACTGCTTCTGATTTTTACTGTTTCTGATGTCCTGCTTCTGATTTTTACTGCTTCTGATTTTTATGCTTCTGGTGTCACTGCTTCTGAGTGCACTGCTTTGAGTGTACGCTTCTAGTGTCCTGCTTCTGATTGTTACTGTTCGTGAGTGTCACTCTTCTTCAGTAACAGTTCATATAGGATGCAGGTCGAGCCTAGCTATTAGAGGTAGGTTAGTTTAGTTTAGGTTAAGTTAGGATAAGTTAGGTTAGGTTAACATAGGTTAAGTTAGGTTAGGTTAAGTTAGGTTAGTAATAACACTAACACAAGCTCAAAAACTTTGGAAGGTCCAGAAGTTCTCAATCACCGAGTACTAAGAGTGTCACAGGTGTACACAATCACTGAGTACTAAGAGTGTCACAGGTGTACACAATCACTGAGTACTGAGAGTGTCACAGGTGTACACAATCACTGAGTACTAAGAGTGTCACAGGTGTACACAATCACTGAGTA